TGTAGCAAAGAAGTTTGTAAACTCGAGACCTTATAAACACCTTGTGTAGCAATGGAAATCCTGGTCCCAATTATGATCATAAGCCAAAGACTACCTTTGTGCAACTTTTGATTCAGAAATTAATCTCTGTGTTGAAACAAGGATCTACACAGAATGCCAATGCCAATGTTCTTTCAAATATTGCCATTGTGTACATTATTGGGAAATTTCCAACCAGGCAAGGAGGTGGGATCAAGCAGGAAGTTAGTCTTGGGTTGTTACAGAGTTGACCCATTTCCCTCCTTTAAGTCCTATTGAAACTTATCTGTTTGTTCCTTAGAGAAGATAAGCAGTCTAGGGAGATCCCTGTACTACAGATAGAACACAATAAAGTACTTAATTTGAGCCTTTCACATGTAGATGTGATTATTGGGTCTGACAGATATATTTCATTATCAGCCACACAGTATTCTCTCTCTCTCCCTCTCTCTCACACACACACCACTATCCAGTGGTGGGATTCAAGTAATTTAACAACTGATTCTCTGCCCTAATGATTTCTTCCAACAGCCAGTTTGCCAAACTGCTCAGAAAGTTAACAACCGGTTCTCCCGAAGTGGTACAAACTGGCTGAATCCCACAACTGCCACTATCCTACCCTCAGTCTCCACCTCAGGTTAGCCATTCATCTCAAAAATTGTTGTTTTAATACTTATCTGGAAATTAGTTACTTGGATCGCTTTTTTTCAGCATTTTTTGCCGTTGATAGCTTAATACAATAAAAAGTCTTCTCTATATCATAGATGTTCACTTTGCCTTCATAAAAACACCAACTGCCATACCCACTCTAACGAAAAAAAAAACCCATACATTACACAGATACTAATGTTACAAACTTTGGTGTAATTGTCTGCACTAGTTACTATTTTTTCTTCTAATCTTGATTAGTCAGATGTAACAGGACACATATTAAGTAAAATGTTTTTACGGTGCTACCTGGTCACTTCTTATGTGATGATATTTCTGAGAACAACTGAGAATATGGTGTTCATTATTGCAAACAGGTCTGTGAAATAACTAAAACTGGCAACATTGTTCACTTTTTCTCTTTACACACACACACACACACACACACACACACACACACACACACAGAGGCTCATTTTACATTATGTCACAGTGTAAATTGTTCTGTTTTGCATACTCTATGAACCAGGGGTGGGTTCTACTTACCTTTACTACCAGTTCGCAACTGAATCACGCATGTGCTTGCTTCGCTCGCATGCACACCTTGCTTCTGCGCATGTGCAGATCACTGGTGACGACATCCAGGGTGGTAGGCAGGACCTCCCATCGGTTTTAATACTGGTTCTTATGAACCGGTCCAAGCCAGGGGCAACCCACCACTGGTATAAACCAAACATGACTTACAGAGCAAACCATAATTTTATGACTTTTCATGTAATAAAAACCCAGATAATTTTGATTTATTCAGCCAATCATGGTTCAAGAAACCATTTCCTAGTGTGGCATGTAACTGTAGGGATGGGAAGTGACATCACATGTGATGAATCATGACAGCAGCAAATAAAGGATGAAAAGTACATATTGTTTATCATTTGTTTTACAACATCATGATGCATATGATATAACCCAATCATTTGTAGGTGATGTCAACATTTGAGTCACTCTTTCCTTCTCCCTCCATCTTTCTCTCCCACTCCCTTCCTCCCCCACTCTCTCTCTCTCACACAATTTAGTACCTCTTTGAAGGAGGACTGCTCCTGTAATTATTAATGAAATGTTACAAACAATCAAAGCAGATGTATTTGTTCTCTGTTTCCCTTTCAAATTGGCAAATAGGGTTTACCATACAACCATACTGTTCTAATTATAACTGCCTGCTCTGTTTGGTATATTTTGTTTGTATGTGGTTTGCGATGGTCATGAGAAGTGGATTTTATTGTAAATATTTTATCTTACCCAGAATCTGCTTGCTTCTCTTCATTATAATTTTTTCCTGAAGAGTTGACTGATTATTTGGCAAAAGCTACAAAACCAAACAGCAGAAAAGATGATGGGCAATTCCAACAAAGCTTTTGCAAAGCTCACAGATGGTTTTCAGACTATTTAATTTTCCAAATGAACTGGCCTCTGTCCATTGTATGCCTCCAGCATGAACACATTTTCTCTAAAGCTGTGCCACTAAGGTGAGAATGTTTTCTTTTTTAAAATCAAAATAAGGAGATTAAAGTCTTCTGTAAGGTTTACAGTTCTTAGCTTCAAGCAAACTCCTCTTCATTGAAAGAGTCACGTTTTGTGAGTACCTTATCTTTCCAAATATGTTTCAGCAAACAAGTTGATCCTCATTCTTTTTAATCTACTGCTGACTAGAATCTAAGCTGGGAAAGCCTAGGCTGATTGCAAACTGGCAAACAAAGCTTACTTATGCAGCTGACATTATATAATCATAAAGAGGACTGGAGATTTTCTGTAATCAAAATCTGCACTAAGGCAATTCAAACATTATGACTGATGCATTTGGTAACCTGTATGAATTATAGACGCATCTTTGCCTTATTTCAGTTTTAAAAACATTTTATACTAGAATACATTTGTACATACTATTCTTTCTAAACAGCCATCCAGAGAAGCAAAGTCTATATAGAAATCTATAATGTAATAAATTTGGATCAACAATAACTACATTAGCAACTGATCTGGTTATTGAGTAGGGATATTATTATTTCATGATCCTGTCTTAGAATATGAACATTTTTGTCCCATAATCTTTACCAATGAGTATTATGACTCTATGAACTCCAGTTCAAAATTTAATTTGAATCTGATAAACCTTCCCAAAGGGCTTCTACTCTGGCAGATGTTAGAAAGAAGCTGTTGCTGTCTTCTTAATATAACTGATTATTTATTATTTACTGAATAACATTTATAGCCTGTCCCAAGACTAATAGACCCTGGGCAGCATACAACATAAGAAATTACAATACACAATAAAAAGTGAAGTAAATCCAGTCCATCATTTTTCAGTACTTTTATATAATGGTTTCCCAATCAGGTTGGGTCAAAGGCCTGGCTGAATAGGACTATTTTCACTTATGTATGAAAAGAAAGGTTGACTGCAGCTATGTGTACCTATTAAGGGGAGAGAATTCTATAAAATGGAGGCTATTAAACAAAAATAGTCATTCATATCCTCCAAGAAAAATGGTGGTGGTGGGGATACCCAATAAGTCTTCATTTGTTCACTTGACTCAAGAAAATTTGACTCTGGCAAGCAGTTACCAGATGCATCCTAGTGTTGAATCATATAAGGCTTTGTAGAACCACTATCAATTGGGCTGGAAACCTACCGATAACCAATGCAATGCAATGTCTTTAAATTAGATGCTTTTTTACACTGGCCAGGTTGTCCTGCCATCAATCCAACTGCATTATTCACCAGTTACAACTTCTATTCCAAAGTCAGTTTATATAGAGCATACTACAGTACAGATAGTCCTTGACTTACAACCACAATGGAGCCCAAAATTTCTGTGGTTAAGTGAGACATATGTTAATGTCATTAAATGAGTTTTCTCCCACTTTACGACCTTTCTTGCCACTTTTGTTAAATGCACTGCAGTTGATAAATTAGAAACCTGGTTGTTAAGTCAATCTGGTTTCCCCATTGACTTTGCTGGTCAGAAGGTCACAAAAGGTGATCACATGGCCTTGGGACACAGCAATGATCATAAATATGAAGCAGTTGCCAAGCATCTGAATTTTGATCACATGACTGCGGGGATGCTGTAATGGTTTTAACTGTGAAAAATGGTAATAAGTCACTTTTTTCTGTGCCATTGTAACGGTCACTAAATGAACTATTGTAAGTCGAGGACTACCTGTAGTCCAACTGAATGGTGATCAAGGCATGAGTCACAACTTCAGGAGGATTCTGGTACAGACAGGTCCATAACAGAGGCACTAGCCCAAAACCTACCATAGTTTCTTCCAGCTCTTTGAACAGGAACACTGTATCATCTTTTATAAATGCCAATGTTAGCAGTGACATATTAGTTTAAAAAAAAAGAGGCAAGAGAAATTCCTTGATGCAGTTCTGCAAACATGAGCTAGATTCATGTCTAAAAGTTAGCATTAGTGATAGGAAAAAACAGCATCTTGTTTTAACACCAATCCTGAGATCAGCCTATTTTTTTCCCCCTTCGCCTGCATATGAATTAATGCATTCATTACTAACCCTGAACTATAGCAGAAAAAATCTGGCAAATAACCATCCTATTATTAGATGGCTCTGCAATTAGAAAAGTGTGGGTATGCATACACACACACACACACACACACACACACACACACGTTAAAACTCTAGAAATATTCTATCTAATTAAATCCAGTCAGCCAACTCCTAAAATCCTTTATTTCTTAGCATCCGGAAGAATATAACCCATGTGCTTCAGACACCTCCCTTTTCTTATCTGTTGTATTAATAATATTAGAAATAGAATGATCCAAAATTATTTATTTTTAAATATTATTCAGGTGCAAGCAGTAAGTAAGAAAGTTGCATCCTATGGAAAACAGTCTTGGCGTTCCATTGAAGTTGAGCAATAATAATTTCTAAATGTATATAGTTTTAACAGACAATCATTATCCTCTTTTTGTTTTTAGCAATTGCTGTTAAAAATACACTTAAGATTCTTTCGTGTGTTTTTTTATTGAGTGCAATTTTATTTTTAGTACAATAGTTTTGAAAGTTACTATTACAAACGTGGACAATTTTGACACAATCAATGAGTTGAAAGAGAAAGGGGGAAATGTACAAGGGGATGCAATCCTTTACAGATATCTCATAGACTATGTACATGACAGGATCTCTTTTGGCTGGAACAGTGCATGTGACTGGAGGTTGGCTCCTGTTGTCTTTGTTCTTCAGGCCAGAGCATGTCCTTGACACAAGAGCCTGACAGCATCTCCAGGAGATCACAGCTCATTTGCAGAGCATTGTGGCTACCTTGCCAATGGAAATGGATTAGGGGACTGCAGTGGTAAGCTTGACTGTCTGGACTGGCATCTTTCCATATACTTCTGACATCAAATAAAGGCATAAAAAGATCCCTAAATTTTAAAAAAAGAAGAAAATAAAATAAAGATATCAAGTAAGTTGCAAAGACTATCCATGCTGTATAAATCATCACTTATTTATCCACTTTTTGGAGGCTAATAGAAGAAAACAGAAGAAAAGATTTAAATTCTACTAGTCTACAAAAGGAGGAACATTTTCATAATAATTATGTTAAGCATGAATGCATTCACTAACTAGCATATTTCATTTGAACAATAGAACTTTTTTTTTTCCTTAAGAAAAAGCTTGTTCTAAAAAAAATATAAGCCTTTGCAAAAAGTGGCATCCTAAGAGACTGGTATTTCCTTTCTCTCATGTAAAGGCATTCAGAAGGGTGAGTCCATGGGTTATAAGAGTCAAAAAAGCCAAGATGGCGGGGGAGCAGGCAATCAATGCTCAATTGCTTGCTTACATGCTTGCAATGCATATGGCACACATGAAAAAGGAGCAGGGCTTTGGTCTCAGTTACGCTTGCCATCCTGACCTTTCTGATATTTCTCCCTTGCAGAGACTTCTGATTCAGAAGACACTGTGTGCCATCAATACCCCTATCCTGCATTATTCAGTCTGGTCTCCTTTTAAAACAATGATCATTACCACAACTGATGATACTGAATTCCATTATTTATCTATGCCCAGTAATATATGAATTCAGCTATATAATAAATATCAAAATTTTAGGATAACTTTTAAAATATATTAATAGGCCTGGAAATGTTATAATAGAACTATATAGGAAATTCAAAACTATTTGAATAATGGTCTGTTATTCTTCGATTTCTAATTAGTAGATAATATCATCCAAAATTAATATTATTAGTTAACATACTCATTAGTGGAACAAGAGATTCAGAACATAAACTATTTAAACCTTAATATATCCCTGCATAGCTACATTTTAAATGTTTACATTTAAATGACCCTAAATCTAAATCATCATCCAGTATATATAGTTACTCAAGCTATCTTTTCATTTTGATTGAGCAACATGAATGGTGACTCTTCTGAGGACCACTAAAGAATTAGATATCCCCTAATCCAAATCTCCTAAAAGCAAACTCAAACTAAATTTTGTACAATTTTCTTCATTGCCTAGGAAAGATTAAGTGTCAACATCTGGTATCTCAGGTTAGAGGAAAACCTCATCCCTTGACAGTTTCTGTTTACATTAATTCAGTCTCTCCCTATTTTCAACTTCATTATCTATTCTACTTGAAACAAAAAAATTAAGTTATTTAGGTCATCCTTACTTTAACCCACATACATCTCCCTTGAATGCACTATTAGAGCAATCTAGGAAGATTGTATATTATTGCAGACACTATATAGCTGTTTCTTGGCTACACTTCATATCTATTTATTAGAAAATTGGGGAAAGGTATAAACTTTGTCATTATAGGTAATCCTTGATTTACAACCACAATTGAGCCCAACATTTTTGTTGTTAATGAAACATTTGCTAAGTAAATTTTGCCCCATTTTACGATCTTTCTTGCCATAGTTGTTAAGTGAATCACTGCAGTTGATAGGTTAGTAACCTGGTTGTTAAGTGAATCTGGCTTCCCCATTGACTTTGCTTAATATGCAAAATATGAACCTGAGACACAGCAATAGTCATAAATATGAACCAGTTGCCAAGATCTGAATTTTGATCAAATGATCATGGAGATGCTGCAAAGGTTATAACTGTGAAAAATGGTAATAAGTCACATTTTTCAGTCCTATTTTAACTTTGAATGGTCATTAAATGAACTGTTGCAAGTCAAGGACTACCTGCATCTTCCTTCCTTCCTTCCTTCCTTCCTTCCTTCCTTCCTTCCTTCCTTCCTTCCTTCCTTCCTTCCTTCCTTTCCTTCCTTCCTTCCTTCCTTCCTGTCTGTTTTGGAACACTATAGTTTTCATTGATTAACCCTTGTAATATGCTGGGCTGAGGTAATTAACTGTGGCCTCCATTTTAAGATCAAGAATAGCTCTAGCTCTTGGACATATTTGCTGAGATCTATGCCTTTAAGGTAGGAAAGTTAATAACAGAAGAATTGCCCCGATGCCTGCATGAGTCATAAGTTTAATAAAATAGGACTTCCTTAATGTTGTGGCAGTAATAACTTCTGTCCAAAGGTTGACTTCTTCCCTTTTTTGCAATTCTGTCACAAATTGCTCAGACTGCCTATATTTAACAAAAGCTCTGCAAAACTTTTGTTTCATTTCTTAACATCAAACTCAGACTGGGTCTTAAAGATAAATAACAAAATGTTTAGAAACTCTGCAGTCAGGATTTAAAATCTGGTCTATATTTGTACATGGGGATGAAAGAATATCTACTTCCCCAAAGGACAGTAACCGAAAGAAGACACCCATGACATGCCACTTAATATTCACTAATGTAAATACTGTCCACCAATCTGCTTACTGGGATGTAAATTTATTTTTGCTACCTGATTGAGTTGAGATGGGGATAAAAGAAAATATGGACAGGAGAGGTTGTGAAACACATACTACTGTAGATTATGATTCCCATTTCATTAACAGCTGGCTTTAGGGAATGGCCACAGCTGAATGATAGAGTTGATATTTTGTTTGCAAGCTCTCCAGTTCAATCTGACAAATTTAGAGCTAGGAATTAAGAAAGACTCCTCTGTCAGTCACTTTAGATAAGTCTAAAGTGATCCAACAGTCTATCCAAGTAGAACATAGCCTTCTAGGAGAGGAATTATGCCAGAATGTTGGAACAATATATGTTGAGTGCTCTCCTCCATGGGCTAAATCTTAAAGTGAGAAATGGCATAACATCAATTTGTAGTAGAAACTAGCAGTACTTAATAATGAAAAGAGCAATATAGAGAAAGCTTGTCACTCTTATTATAAAACAGAAGTGCAACCGAGCAACAAAATACCATTATTTTATCCCATGGTAAATTGGTGAGTGGGTCTTAGGTTGTGGGTGGAAAGCAAATATGCTTTTAATACGCAATTGTACTAAAAAAAATAAAGTTACATGTTAAATAGTGAAGTAATTGGCCGATTGAAGAAAACATTGCCTCCTTGACTAGTCTTCAATAAATAGGCTAGCAATACAATTATGCTGAAACTTTTATTTAGTAATTTTGAATTCACCAGCAAAAAAAAAAAAAAAAAAGAATGAATGAATGAATGAATGAAGGGTTAAGACCAGACATAGAAAATCAGACAGAAGAAGGAAATAGAAGTAAAAATTATCTGATATAATACACACACACACAAACCAAGGTTAAGCAGACAATATTACTATCTTAAGGATATTAAAAATAAATTAAAGTTCAGCTGAAATCAATGTGATTTATTTCTATATTTTAGGAGCAGGAAATAAAGAAGATCAGAGAATCTATAGAAGTATTACATGAAGAAATGAAAATAAAGAAACATTCAGTTCAATTTTATGTACCTTATATTTTAATAAACTAAATATCCAATTCACATATTTATTGGGAAGAGAAGTACTGTACATGTAGTTAATGAGTTACTTTTGAATCCATTTATGGGATTACAATCCTAATTATCTACTCGTAAAAATGTGTGATGGGACCTGCATACACCTGGAAACTCTGAAGTTATAAGTTTTATTAAGAATCTGAGATGCATAAAGACATTAGGCATTAGTCTTACAAGTAAGGACATATTTTTTTTTAACTTTTCCTCATTAAAAAACGTTAACTATTGGCACTATTTTTCTTCAATAAAATGAAAGGTATCCAAGTATACTCAGGTGTAATACTACAAGGGGGTTACATTTGCCTCTGGTCTCTTAGCAGTATTAGGTTGATCTTTATGTTTTATTTTATTTTATTTATTTTAGAGGCCAGGCAACTCCAAATGCCTTTGGCAACTTTCACTTTGAAACCAAGAACAATACAAATTAAAAAACAGATTATAGATATCCAGAACAGTACAGAAACCAATCTTACCAACAAGACAATCTGCAGGGGCTCAGCAGCCGTCCTACCCCAAAGTCTGGGAGAATAGCCAGGCTTTCAAAGAGTTTCAGATCATTATGACAGAACCATATGGATCTCTAGGGGGATACTAATCCAGAGGAAAGGTCCTGTGACAAATAAGGCATGCTTCCTAGATCCCAACAGTTGATATTATTTAATTGAGGGGACCCGGAATGCACTTGCCATGCTTGATCTTACTGGGCATTACCAGATGGGCTAATTACAGCGAATCTTCACAAAAGAATCTGATCAAAATTTCTATTCATTACAGTGATAGATCATTGTAATCATCAAAGTTCATCAAGTGTGTGAGGTCCAGTTGCTACTCTAAACATCCCGAGATTAGAAATCTGACACAAGGAGACAGAGAAACAGAGATAAAACACGTTTTAGCCTTTGTCACAGTGGATATAAGGAACAAATCACTGTACCAAAGGCTTAACTGAAAATGGATTTTGAAAAGGTGTTTGAAGAAGAAAGAAAACCAGCATCGTCTGAGTGTTCTGGAAACAGACATTAAAGAAAATTTTCACAGATGTTTCAGAGAACAAATTTAGCCCCTTCCCTCCTGGTGGATCAATTGTAGAGCAAACCAGTGTGATAGAGTGATGAAAGCCTTGGTTAAGAGTGGAAAAACCAGATTCAAGTCCAACTTCTGCCACAGAAGCTCACTGGGTGATTTGGCTCTGTTACTGTATCTTAATACAACCTCCTGAATAGTACAAAGTTGTTGCTGCTGTGGGGAAAACCTGGAAATGAGAAGTGCTATGTTTCCTATCTTAAATTCCTAGAAGCAAAGTCATATGTATTTCTAACAAATCAAAATAATTTGGGCGGAAAAATACCAGCAATCAGTAAGGACATATTAATGAAGGTAAGATATTAATGAAGGTAAGATAATGAAGGTACTGAGTTTTCAATAGAAATAGAGTATATTTTTTACAATGTTTTTTTTTTTACAATTGATACTAGGATAGTATTATATAGCTTCAGAGAGAGAGAGAAAAAGGACACAATTGTTT